CCTGATTACAATATTCAACTCTAAGACTCATACTCGCCTCGGATGATTTTGGTAGTGCTTATGTGGATACGTCAAAATAGCCCGTGAAACTCTAGTCATCCCTGAAACAGTGAATGGTCCCAAGTAAACTCTGGAATCTAAATAAATTGCTTCTTAATGGGTGCAATACGACAGACCACACCATATTCTCTGGCATTTACAGTATTGAAAGTGTCTATTGACAGTCACCTGATAATGGAATCGCCAACTGCTGCTGGTTGTGCCAAATGGGACAAAGTCAAAGGTGATATCTTTATGTGTATTGCTAGGTCCTCGATAACAGCGGAGCCGGCTGCAGCATCATATCATGATCTAGAGAAGGATCACTCGTTTTCCAAACATATATATGCTGGGGGGTTACAAGCTTGTGTCATTGTCCGCTATCAGAAAAGCCCTGTCGGTAAGCAACTTGATGTATTCAGTAAATCTTGACCATCGGCTAACGGCAGCATCCTTCTAGGCCCATACGACGAGCTTCTATGGATACCTGGGGCTTTTAGACTTCCAGAGACTGGGAAAACGGCATACCGAGCTACACGAATTTATGTTTCTGATGAGAACGCTGTGTATCAAGGTTTGTGGCAAAACAAATTCCGATCGCAGTGGCCTATGAGAAAGAAAACAACAGGCAAGCTAATATACCCTTCATCAGGCCGTAGCAACTGGAATGTACCCAAAATGGTAAGTTTAGTAAATTATTTCTTCAAGTGAGCTCTATGTTAATTGACATGCTCGTTGGACAGCTCGCGAGGTTCGAATTTACCGAATCCGAAAGCAATCATCTTCCTTACAGCAAGATAAAAATATCAACCCACAAAGAAGGCAAGCTTTTTCTGGAACTAAAATTGATACCAGCATTTTTCAACTCGCGAACAATACTTCCTATTAACTCCAAATTTTTCCCATTTAACCTAAGATTTGTATTCCCCCCGCTTCCGGAAAGCAGAGATAAGCAAGAAGACAAGCGGGTGGGAACAACAGAATGGAAGCAAGTTTTTTTGAGTGTTACGGGAAGGGTCGGAGTCGTCAAAACATCCATTTCACAGACATCTGGAAATCTTTTCCCTGATTTGGGCGGAAAATGCTACTGGCTATGGCTGAAGGGTGCGGAAATTCGAATTGAGGGGTTCCCCTATCACACGGCCACTCCTAGTGCTCCACATAAGCAAAAGCATTAGAATATTGAGGTTGACGATTAATGCAAATCATTTAATGCCAAACTAAGCAGCTTTAATTCAAGCCTTGCAATACATCTAGAGCATTTCTAAGAATGTATACAACACACGTACAGAGTGTCGAGAAAACCGGACCACCTACTCTATATTTTCTCGAGCTTACAATGCCAAGAAAGCCCGCCTCGCAATCTATTGGATCTACGTGATCCACCAAATATAACTGAATATTACAAACAAGGATAAGTGTGATGAAGCAATCAAGATTTAATACAGAGAGTTCAGAAATTGGCAACAGAGTGAGTGGGTGGCGACAATAGTGAGTTATAAATATAGGCAAGATAATACAGTATTAGTTGTGACGGTTAACGGGGCGCCAAGAGCGGCTCCCATTGAACCGCCGTTCTGCCAGCCACCACCGCCTGTCACATGCGGCAATGCTACTGCCCGTTACGGTCTAGTGCGGACTGTTTCGGGCATCGCGCCCGCTTCTCGCCGCTTTTGCGCCCTTCGCCTGCCGCCTCATGCCTCCCACGCCATCTATATAAGCCCGGCACCTCTCCCTCGAACCACCACGCACTTTCTCTTTCCATTTTCCCCCTGGCTGTCTGCCTCAGCCGGAGCACTGCCCCCTTCTCAAAGAAGCTGTGCTACCCGAGCATTTCCCTCTTATGGTATGGCGCCGTGCGTTTCCCCTCTTTCCCCCACTTCTTCGGCGACTCCGAGTCGCCCAGGGATTCTCGAGGGTTGTTGGCCAGCAGCCATTTCGTTAGTTTCTAGCTATTTTCGTTCGCTCAGTCGAGCATCCTCTTGTTTGTGGCTGTCTGTCGCATCCTGAGTTCGTGAATTCGCGGCCGTTTGCGGCGCGGTCATGCATGAGTTGACTGGCAAGTCTGGACGTCATGTCTTGTCCGATCTCTTGCTGAATCTTGAGTTTAGTATTGTTCTCATGGCTTCTTCATATACGAAGGGTCGAGTCTACAGGTAGGGGAAACGTCCTGTAGTCTGCCAGAATAGCTTCCTCTCGTCAAGCCTACAAGACAGGAGGCCTGCTACTTCACCTGGCCTGGGTTGCACGTCATCTCATCAACGTATGCCTTCGACCCACCGGAATCAATGCCCATTCTAACGTGCGGTCTGGCCTTCACCATCTGCCAATGGCAAAATTGCCGCACCTCATCCGTATTCTGTGTATAGAGCTGAGAGGCTTGACATGCGAGTCTTGGAGGCAACATGCTAGTCGCGATGGGCTGGGAGCGCTCAATTCCAGCGCTCGGTCGAAAATCCTGACCGAGTGTGGATACGTCAGTTGCAGAGGACGGGTTTTTAGGATGAGAGAGTTTCAGCTCGGCGTTCCTTCCAGCGTGCAAGGCCGTCTCATTGAGAGGGCATACATATAAGGGTCCGCGAAGGTCGCAGTGTTACAATTCGATTTTCTCATCAGCTGCACAACTCCCCTATCACTTGACCTTCTTCCCACACCACATCCTGTGTCCCAATCCCTGCCTGCACATCCCTCTTTCACCCTGGTCCCACTACCCTCTCTTCACTCCCAATTCTGAATATTCACAGAGTCAACCCTGCCAAAAGATCCTGAACCTCCCATTTCCTGGAATATGTTGCCTGCATTCCACATTCACATTGATAACTTCAAGCCATTGGTGCCCTCTCTTCCCAAACCATATCCAGCTCCCAAATCCCACCGCACACACTGCTCACGCAATAAGTCTTCTGCCCTTAAGTTTTGTGATGAACCCCGACCCCGAACTTTGCCAATGCCCAAACATCAGCTCCCGGCGCGGCCGCCAGTCGATGCTTGCGTAAATATGAGTGCAAAAATCCCCTCATACATATCCTCGGGCCCCCAAATTCAACCGCCGCAGTGATCTATGTCGTCATCCCACACGCCACCCGATGTACGATCCCCGGAGAAGGCCGAGCGATCTCTGGGAGACCACGCAGGTCACGTGCCAGATTCAGTCACATTGCGGGACGGTCAAGATGCCAGCAATAGTCCCAAGTGACGCGCCCGCCCTTCAAGTGGCCGCCTCACCCCCCAGCACACCCAGTTCGGAGCAGAGCGCGGGGTTGTCTGATGTACACAATGACATTCCAGTTGATCCAGTGATCCTCGCCGACGACGGGCTTTGGATGAAAGAATTGCAGATGCACCCAGACGATAGTTTCGTTACTTCGGAGACAAGTTGTCCGTATCCTGATCCCCCCTCCGTTCTGTGTGACACATCTGTTTATAACCCAGACTCCAACGCACAGCCTCAAAGGCAGGAGAGCAGTCCTCAGCCGGTTAGTCCACACGGCCAGGACCATACGCAAAATTCCGCCTCCTATGACAACACCGAAGCCGACTGCCCTTCGTGTGATACCCCTCTGGGTACCTCCACCTGCGGTCAACAGTTGAAACCGCGCAAGCGAAAGCTGCAAAAAATTGGACGGACAGCCGCCTAAGCGAGTTCGAGGTCCCATGTCCGGCCCAAAGGAATATACGTCGTTTCCAGCATTTGTACTCGGTTTCTGTTCCTATCAATCGATGAACGTCTGCAATTTCTCTCTTGGCTGTTCGAAGGTGCCCTACAACGTTGCATATCAGAATGTCCACCCACGGCATCTAAACAGGGAGAAGCGCCGGGGGCCAGTCGCTCGACTGTCTCTGATGTGGTTGAACAAGGACGGCGAGGTGGTATGGATGTCCACGGAAGCTCAAGAAAGGGCATGAAATTGTCTGCGGAAGAGTCGGATCTTCTGCTGAAGAGACGAGGAGCGGCCTTGGGCAGAGGTCACGAGGCTATTCTCGGAGGAATATCCAGGGAGAAGTCCAGGCGCGATCCAGGTATACTGGAGCACGGCCCTTAGCAAGAAATAGCATCTCAAGACTGCGCTTTAGGGCCAAGTTTAGGAAAATCCGCGCACCTTGAACAAATACTTAGGACGATGACGAGTAGTTATGGGTACATGGAGGAGGGTCAGGAAAGAGGCTACGATCCAATTGAATCGAATCAACTAGGACTGTAATCCCAGAATTAATCCTATAGTAGGAACAATAGTCCTAGGATCGATCCCATCCATAGGATTTTAGACTCCTAGGAATACTTGACCTGGGACAGGCACGCACCCAGGATTTGTCTTATTCTAGAACGGGGTCTCCTGGGCTTATTCAATCTCACGTTGATATTAATGTAAGGAATATACATTCCAAGACCAGTCTGCGCCTAAATCATGTATACTGATGTGGTGTAGATAGATCTCTTAGAGCACACGATGTGGAAATGCCACTGAATACGCTAGCTTGAAAGAGACAACGGAGGGATCGAGTGAATACGAAAACTGCAGTGAAGGGTTCTTGGGGTAAGCCTCCAGGCAATCCTTCGCTGCGATCCGCAACAAGAGTCACGATATCCCGCACCCATCTTAATTTGCGAAGACCAGGCCACCCTTGGGACTGCTTCATGGTATATTCTCATCGTGATATGCTATGTTAAAAAATAAAAAAAAAATATGTATCATGGATGGATTTCCATCATGCCTCTTCCGGACGATCCTGGTAAGGCCAGATCTTGTCCATCCATACTCTCTGTTCCCCATTCTCCGCCAATGACATTAATTTTTCTTTTTGCATCTGGTTTATCTTCTGCACAATTTCATAATCTTCAGGATCGATGATTCCATCAAGTGGCAAGATACCCGCGTCTTGAAACTCTTCCATTAGTCGCTCAATATAGTCGCGGTTCTCCATCTCTTCATCATGCAATTTCCTATCTTCTTCTGAGAAGGAAATAGGACAATGATCTTGAGATTGCAGTTCCGGCCAATGGTCTGCCACAGCCAGTAATGACGAGCGAAGCCCAAAGACTTCTCGCGACGACCAAGCCCCATTTATTGATCGAATCGGTTGGATGTAGGGTGGCTTCCAGGTAACATTATGGCTTATAGCAGCGTAGTGTTGAGGATTTTTCTTAGCGGTAAGAACTTCATAATACTTATGGCACAGGGCGCTCTCATAGAGCTTGTCTGCCCTTAGTTTGTCCTTCTCGGGCAAGTTATCATAATCCTCTGGTTTTTCTGGCATAACCCAACCGAGTGGAAGCGGACTGACGTGTTGGACCATCCGAGGTACCTTAGCTTGCAAGATCAGGGGGGCGACTATTGTATTCTGCCAATCAATGATAGTAGTAATAGTTTCCGAACTGAGATCGACATAAACGTTGTTGAGGTGTAGATCACTGTGCCACAATGTCGGCTGTAAAAGGTTCGTAGAGCCAGCTTCATACTGTGTTATATATGGAACAACCAGTAGATACTTCTCTATAAGATCCATGTATTCGTTAGGCATTTCACGGTCGGTGTTGCTTCTGTAGTAGTTCATGCGTGGTTGTGCATTCTGCATTGCCCATAACTTCTCGTTAATCCCTATACTTGTCGCATAATCGGAGAACTGACGCCCTGTCATAAACACAAGAGTCAGGAGAAATGTGATGAATTTGAGAAACAAGAAGCTTACAAGGGCCCTGACACAGTTCCATCTCGGCCCGGCCATCAGACCAGAAAATCGGGTCTACGACTGGGCCAATGCAGAATTTCTTCATATCGTCTCCATAAAGCGAGAGTTGATCTTTGGAATACCTTGTGGGCAGGTCTTGTGTATAATATATGCATCCGTGTCCTGGGAAGGACACTGACGCTAATTTTGCCTCCAACTCTACCACTTGCCCTATAATTTTGTGCTTAGACGAACTAGGAAGCCGATACCAGACATCACCAAGAGCAGTGCCTTTTGCCTTTTCCATAATGATGTATTCACTTCCCACAGGGTTCGAAGGGTCGCAACTCCAACTTAATACCCGCGGAACAGGTAGACCAATAACTTCTCGTGCCTTGTGATGTTAGCATTTGGTACTCCTGTCTCGCGAACTTGGAGCTTACATAATCCATTGTTGCAACCTCACTGGCGACAGTTAGAACCTTTGGTCCTGCATTAGGATTTGGCAGCTTTGCGACCACTTCGGATCCATTGTTGAATGTAAGGAGAAAGGTCTTATTATATTGCCCCTCCCGATACTTCATCATATGGGTGCCTAAAAAGGTATTAGAAAAACTATGCGTTGATGGGAATTGGGGTGCGGTACATCTATTCGCATCTGTGCCACTTGACCGGACGGCAACGGTAAGAAGCTCCTGGATATTAAAATGTCGGTATCGCTTTAAGGCTTCCTGGTTGTCGTTTGATCTGCTGTTGGGTCACTACGCGGTTGAGGGAAGTGGTTATTCGCAGAAACGCACAGCCATCGCTTTGTCGTATATCGGTAAAACTCTTCTTCTCTAGTTTCGATAACTGTGGGATATGATGGTAAGCAGCATATTTAATATAGTCCCCGTATCAAAGGTTCCCACCAGTTCCATCGTTCCTCTGTAAGTGCAAGACAGTAGAGGGCATCGCTTGATCGCCGCGGGTTGAAGGGTTCATTTCTCCACTAAATTGACGATAGATAACTTTGAAAGGGCATTTTCTGGAGACTGCGAACGAAATATTGAAGGGTCGAATTCTCATAATGCCTCTTGTGGAAAAATGAAGAAAAGAGGTGTTCGAAGTGGGCTTGCTTGGAAACGTCGAGCAGCTTGCTGAATGGTCAATGTCGTCTGTAGGCTTGACCGCCCGCCGTAGGCGCTCCAACCATCAACTGCAAGAATGGCTCTGACCCCTGCAACTTCCAACCAACCCAGTTCGCTGATTGACCACCATTATGAGTCATATCAGACTAACTCCCCTCAGCATGTGTTAGGCTACTCCATCTGTTGGCTGTTGGCTGTTGCCTAATATGCGTTATTAAAGAAGGGCTCAGGTGATAGGTTTTTCCTGATCACTTTCCCTCCTACGCTCCTGTCTCAGATTGTACTAGGCAACGTACGTAAAATTCATCATTCACGAAAGGAGAAACTAACAGAATTACGCGCCAGGTATCATGTCCAAATTCCCCAAAAAACCACTTCAGGCTCTTATGGACCTAGCACGGGTTAATAAAGAGAAACTCGTTGCTCCTCTTCCTGACAACTTGACTTCGAAGACCGTCTTGAAAACCGAAGATGCGAGGATTGATCTGCACAAAAATCTGGCGACACCCGATGAGGTTACAGCAAGAATCCAAGCCAACACAGGTGCAAAAACAAGCTCGGTTAAGAAATGGATCAGAGAAGCAAAGCAGAAGGGACATAGTGGAACGCACAAGAATATCAGCGAGGTGAAGTTCAATCGGAATAGCTTGGATATTGACAAATTTGAGAAAGAGGTGATGGAAAAGAGTGCTTAGTTGTTACCGTGCTCAAAATTTGTATCTAAGTGACGTCCTCGCATTCCCAAACTGCGAACGAGTAGTGAACGTAGATGATGAAAGGCGCTTATGCTGAAAGGAAGGGATATACTGGAAAAACTTGCTACAAGCTCATATCGAAGACCATGAGAACATGATATCTATTTACGACTATCATGGAAAAAAAAGACAATTCATGATTTTGTGCAAGTCAGGCTCTGATTCTCAATCTCGGGGATGTTCAATCAGCCTTTCTGATCACGCGGGTGCTGGCCCTGTTAAAAATTCCAGTTGTTCAGAGAGTGTTGTTGGATGGCTCCCACAACTCACACCTATCATTAGCGACTGAGGTTGCTTGCCTAATCCCACGAAGTTAACCACTTCCCGAGACAAACCCCCTACAAAGGTCTTACGAAAGTCTTGTCAGTGCCAACGGAGCGTTATGGTAGATGGAGACAAGGAAAGTATGTTGTATACAACATAACTGTGGAGAATAGGCGTTTATCACACCACTGGTTGATAGACAACAACCCCACAACCAGACATCTGAAAACTGTCCGAGAACACTCGACCACTATCTGCCAGCCCAAGACGTCGACCTTTCTCTGCTTCGGGAAATTGAGAGACGACAAACCGCCATAAAATATAATGCCTTCACTTTCCTGCATCTCAGTATGCTTTTACTCAACGACGCCACCACTACCTCCGTAAATTGGCTGACATCGCTTCCACATATATCTCAATATGATAGACTAACCGCTGTAAGATAAGTTGGCAACCGCCTCACTACGCGAAAACTGGTTCCAGCTTGTCTGCATCAACTTTTACAGCGGTCCTTTGTTCTCCCCAAAAAACCAATGCGACCCTGGGATTTTTACTGAGGGAATATCTCAATATCAAATTTGGAAAAAAAAATCCCAAGATTCGGAACAGGGATATTCGAGCGACAACTCAAAGCCAAGTAGGTCTATCAGAGAATCAAAGGCATGAAAAGTTTCAGCAAACCCGCATCGTCAACCCAACTGCAATAGTCTGAACTCTCTTCAAAAACGGTGGATGGGAAACCTGACCAACTTTGGAATTAGTGCATATTCTCTCTGAAAAGTAGCTTACGTACCTAAATTTAAGATATCGGGGAGGTTTTTCTTTCTTTTTTTTTTTTTGTTCTGGCCCACGTTTTATAGAAACTAAAATCCAAGGAGACTTCTATGTGAATAAAAGTCGGTCGCTTAGGCAGGATGAAATCGTTTCGATGCAACCATCCCAAGATAATACGTATATCCGATCATGTGATCACAAATCTGTATGGAAAGTGGCTTTGCATCAACCCGCACGTTCTTCCTGCGTGAGCATGATGGCTGCAGTTATATCCATAGGGACCAGGTTAAATAGACGCTCCTAGAGTTTAATAATATCAAGGATGGAGAGTTTTTGGTTTGAATGTTGCTCACCTGCTGATCTTCAATTCTTGCCACTGCAAGTTGGACATGCAATACCGTTCACGAATTTTTTGCCGCCGCAGGTTTCACATGGAGCCATCTTCATTCTCATCACGGTGAAGAATAGCTAGAAAAGTATATTCTTGGTGATTTGAGTGGTGAGCTAAGAGCAAGTCAGGAAAACACCGTCAGTTTTATGAGCGAAAAATTGGTCTCGCTGCCCAAAGGCGGCGGCCCTGCTCGGTATTTATTAGAGCCGATTTCTTAGTCCGTACTTACAGCCAACTCCTTGAATTCTGACTAATTGAGCTTCCGCCTTGCCCCCCAGCAATGGGAACAGCCGGGTGGGCCCTTTCCACTCTTTTACATAGACTTGACAACCCCACCTCGTTTTCGTAGCACCACCCTCAACAATGTCAAACACACAACCACAGTGTGCTTGCTCAGCCTTCTTTGAAACAGAAACTAACCTACGCGAGCATCTCGAAGAATATCGAGTTAGTAACAATAATATAGACCATGGCAATTAGCTAACCCTTTCAAGTCCCGCGAACAGCGCCTACAAGCCGAAATCGAGCGGTGCCGAACCCATTCGAGGGCCAATGGCGATGATTGTCGAGGCGGGAACGACGACGATCAAGGCGAACACGATTATAAACAAAATATTTTTGACAAAGATACCGAAAATCCTATTGGCACCCTGCAGAAGACTGGAGCTTCCAATGGGCATTTCTGTCCATCATGTAAACGAGCGAAGCCATTTCCGAAAATGCAGGGACTCCGGCGGCATTTCCAACAACGCAAGTGCTATCCACACTGATACGCATCCTGATATTAATTATCTATGCAGATGTCACATGTGAGGAAGTGTGCGTGTGTTGTTTTAAAGTTTTCAGGCTCGTGAGCGAGTTTATTAGACATGCCGATAGACATGATGGAGCATGCGACAGAAAACGGGCATTTATCAAGAAAACATGCGATGAATTACGCGAACAATCCGACAAACAGCTAGCTCTTGCAATGAGCCATTGTGGGTCTGGAGTTGTCGTGGGAAAGAAACGGAGTTGGGAGATGACAGGTTTGGGCACCGATATTTCGGGAGCTCGAGGCGAGTTCCACAGGATTGGTATGATGGCTTTGGACCAGAATCTTCGCCAAATCAATGAGGGTGACAGTCTTCGCCAGCTCGGCTCAGCTCGTACTGAACTACCTGCACCCCTGATCCCGATGCAGTCACCAAGAACATTACCTCGGCTGGCCACCATAGCCGATTCCGTTCATCCTAGCAGCCCTCCGAACGTGTCAACGGAGGAAATTTACTTCAACTACGGTGAAGGGCAAACCCAAGGCCTTGACTTGCTACAAGATTTTGACGCTCCTATCCTTCAGATTATGAACAGTGTCCCAGCATTGACGACTGGATGGGCGGCACAAGACAATATTTTAGATATGACCACGGAAGTTGCAGCCTACCATGAACAATGAGGGCTATTTCTCTGCGTTTCCACCTGAGCCCTCAAACGTGAAGTTCAATCCAATTTTTGCGCTCAGCATTTCTAGGTCTCTGACTTTATGTTCCAGCCCCTTTGAGTATGGAAGGGTCATTTTCGCCCAGTTGGCGATCACTTCATCTGTGGCAAATAGAAACGTAATGGCATATCCTTGCTCGATCTTGAAACCGAGTCTAGCATCCAGAATCACCCTACAGCTGTTAGAGCATGAGAATATATTATAAGGCTATTACTCACAAGCCACCATCTGGAAAATCCTTCACCTCGGGCTGAGAGCCTACACGATCCAGCTCGGATTGGGGAATCTCATATAAGGATCTTCTTCCCTTCGTAGTTGCCAGGTTATGAAGATGCGAAAATGTATAATACTCCACTCGTGATCCTTTGGCCCACAGATGTACCATTAGAACACGGCGACCAGCTTTTGGACCACCCCTCCTAAAGCATTCAACATGGCCGGGGAATTCTTCGTATCTCAGCCAGTGTCCGAGGCTGCACCGTTCGAGAGAGGTTTCGAGGATAGATCGGATTCGCTGAAGATAATTAGATGGTAGCCACAGAAATGTCTCATCCCGCTTACTTCGTCAAATGCAAATTGCTTGCAAAAGTCCATACCATATTCGGTGAGGTACGGGAAACCCCGCCTCTCCAACTCCAAGACGCGGTCGCCAACCGTTGAGTCATTTAAATCAAAAAATCCCTCTTCGAGGAGAGACCTCCTTGCCACATCCAGTGTGAATGCGGTTGATGCCATAACTGAGACAGGCTGTGCCTGACACCGACGATGCAAACGGCTGCGGGGCAGTGGTGGGTTGAAACTACCCGGAAGATTAATTCTCCATGGCTGTCAAACCCACATCGGCCACGGGCATTCCCGTTCCGTTTTTAGCTTTCGTTACGTCGGGGAACACAATTTTGTGATACCCCTACAGGGATCACAGTTGTGTGCTACTACAGCTTACTGGGAAACTATCCGTCAAGGATCACAATTCTGTGATCACCGCTGCAATTGGTGGCCCCGTCTACCGCGTCATCGTACTGGTGCTTTCGATACTTACAGAAGTACGAACGACACGACGATTTAGTGGCTCAATGCAAAAGCGACGCCACCAATTGAAGGATTCCTGAATCTATCCAATTGAGACTGGGATTTTACTGCGTATACCATGCATGCACCGTGCAGTGCACTCCTATGCAGCTAAACGCCGAATACGTGAGGGGAAGTAACATCTTGAGCTGTAAGATAGATGTGTATACCAAGCAAAAAACACAGAAGTCGAGCGAGGAACATATAAAGGAGACTTGTTCCTTCAAAGTCTGTCAAATTCACACCTCAGTAGGGACTCCAGATCTTTGACTCTGAGCTGAACCATATTCTAACCTTCTTATTATTTATCAGTCATCAGACATGTCGCCTGCTCCAAAAGCCATCACCGCACCCCCTTCACCCTTTCTGCAAGTCGCGACGCCTCCTGACAGCCCTCCTCGGTTGTCACCTCTGTGGAACGCAGATGGAGACGATCGAAAGCAAGTGCTTGTCGATGCAATTAAACAGGTACTGACTGACGAAACGTCTGCTCCCCTACCCTTCAATACAAATCCACTGGGACGACTTTTGGAGACTATTCCGGGCTCTACTCATCGCTCTTCCACCGTTGTGCCGCCTAATACCCCACGGACTGCCCCTCTGGGGAGTATGGCAACGGACGAAGCAAAAGAGCCTATTGGCCTGATGGCCCCTTCCCCTATCGACCCAAGTGCGTATGCAGACTGGACCAGCGCAGCCACAAACCATCATCTCCCAGACAGCACCCAAACCAAGCCCATTCCAGGCAGTGCCCCTTCTGAGCCAGTGACGATGGATCACTTGAAAGAGTTGTTTATGGCCTTGCTTGAAAGGAAGCTCCAACCACCTGCACCATCAGTGCTTGCCCCGGAGGATGCCGAGGATGCAGCTGCTCAAGCCGCAGCTGAGGGACCTGGAGCCAGATTCAAACGAATCATGGAAATGTATGCGCCCTCGGACATCGCCGGTGACATTTGAGGCTAACCAAAAAATAGTTGGGATAAAGGGACAGCCAGGTACAAGATCGTGGACTCAATCGAGCCCGAAGTGGATGACATGGACCAATACGTGTTCGTCGTTCGCGAACACATCGGTATAACCTATCCATACCTGCATAGAGGAACGAAGCTGACATGACTTTAGATGAAAGATCCAGAAAATCGACAGTGTACATTGATGTGAAGTCCGAGATCCTGCGCGACACCCTGCGCGAGGTGTTAGGCGGCGTAAAGGCGATAAGCCTAATGGAAAGCAAGCCAATAGTAAGCGATGTGGAGTTATTAACACAAAGGGAGACACTAACACTGTGCCAGATTGAGCAAACTATTTTGTTCCATTTCCTGCCAGAGCTCAATGCAAAGCTCAAGAGTTTGGCATCCGCTGAGGGTGTTTTCGATTCTACAATCCCAGTTGCCCCTTCTCCGAATGACCCAGACGCGTACGCGGTTTGGACGGGTATGGAAGAGCCACGATGTTCCCTTGGCAAGAGTCATCTTGGGCACTCTGGCCATCTGGGTCTGCTTGTTGACCACATCAGTGAAACCTACACTGCAACCGTCCAGCGCCTTGAACCACTTCTTCAAGGGGGAAACATCACTTATGATCTCCTGGATATGTTGTTCAAGCCAGGATGTTACGTCTATACCACATGCTTGGGTACTGGAAAACCACGGTGTGTGATTTTTGACGCTGGCGTGGAATTGACAACGCGGGGCGTCACGTACTTCAAGCTGGAATGCCACTATCTGGACTACGACGGACATGTATTCGGTGAGGTAGGGATTGAGTTGGCGATCGTCAAGTATCGAGGATCGAAGCCGATACACTCCCTCGAAGCCTTTCCATTGATCTACCATCCAGACCGCGACCAGGTCTGGCAGGATCTAGTGACATGTGGGCGCGAGTTTCATGAGCTCATTCGTCGCAGTCAAGGGGGCGCTGTGGCTCCCATTAGGTATTGTAGAGGCAGGGCCTTCATCATGAGAAACAACAAAGCGATTGCGATGAACATTGACAGTCGAGTTGCGGTTGATGCCGCGTTCTTTCACGAGATGGAGCCGAACTATCATCGACCACGGATTTCTGACACCTGGAATGACAATTCCACGATCCGATTAATCTCAATCGATGCAGAGGAACACCAAGCAGCACTCGAGAGTGTTAAGAGCACCGGCAAAGAGATGGGTTCAATGGTGGATGGAGACTGCGTGATCTGTTGCCCCACTGTTCGTTGCTTCAGTTTCAACGACAAGTTGTTCCGTGGGTCACGTGTTAAATCAACATATATTGGATGACTAACCAAATCTAGTGGAGTGCGCGGTCAGTGATTTGCGCAGTGTGGAGTGGTCGCGAGTCGCGTTCGATCGCCTGCAACTGCCAGAAGACAAACGCCACATCCTTTTGTCAGTAATAACATCTCGCCTGTACAGCAACAGCGAAGTGGTTTTTGATGACTTCATCAAAGGCAAAGGACGTGGTCTGAATGTCCTACTTTAGTACGTCTAGTTCCCTTTGGTTTAGGAATTATTTCTGACCAAACCTGTGCCACAGCGGAGTGCCGGGGGTCGGAAAGACATTCACTGTCGAGGCAACGGCCGAATATTTCCAAGTCCCTCTCTATTCGGTATGTGCAGCCATTTCAATTAATTCTCGGTGCTGTGCTCACTACGTAGGTTTCTGCCGGCGAGTTGATCGCTGATCATGGTGATCCCCTTCAATTGGACATGGTGCTTGATCGAATCTTTCACATCGCGAAGCACTTCAATGCAATCATTCTAATAGACGAAGCGGATGTGTTCATGGAGAACCGTGCATCCTACCATAGTAATCACAACCGTTTGGTGACCATCTTCCTGCGGAAGCTCGAATACTACGGAGGCCTCCTCTTTCTCACCACCAACCGCGTGATGGAATTTGATGAAGCTGTTCTGAGCCGTATTCATCTAAAGATCAAATACGCTGACTTGACCAAGGATGCGCGACGGGGAATTTTGACAAGCTTCCTTGCTGACGCTCGTACTGCGCAAGGCCCTCCTGTCGTCGAACCCAGCGAGCTCGATCGCCTGGCATCCACGAGGCTGAACGGCCGCGATGTGAGTCTCAACGTAATGATTATGTCCCAGCTCTTATTGACTTGGTTCTACCCTAGGTTAAAAATCTTGTTTCTATCGCGCAAGCCTTGGCTGCGGTCGATAAGTCACCAGTGACGTATCATTACTTAGAAAACGCAGCAAAGGCGAACGATAAGTTTGACGAGGAGTTCAGCAGCAATGGCCTGATGGATACTTTATATACGTAGCTGAAATTTGTACACTTTCGTCGGCACTGAGAGTGGTTTCCTTTTCCACGGATGCCGTGCCTTGCTCTTTACGTTTTTGGGCCCTTTTCTGTTTAAATTCTAAGTTATCGCCGACTTCATTTGAAATAAATGCTCACCTAACAATAGATACTTGGTCACTAAGAATGTTGGGATTGGTTTTGTTGCCCCCCCCCCCCCCCCAACTCCACCAAAGTAGATTTGGCGCATGCCTAATTCTTTCCTCAGATGGTAATGAATATAGAACAAAACGTTTAAGGCGTAAAACGATCACGGTTGACCATAGTTGGAAAAAATCCCAAGGCATTTGGCTGGTATTGGCCGGAGGAGAGCACGTTATCTCATTGGACAACTTCAGGTGGAGTCAGTCCATTCCGCCTAATCCATCATAGTCTGGGCATGAGAAAGACCGATTAAAAGATTTTTTTTCTTGCTATCACATTTCAAAACTTAATCTAGGTGTTCTTTCTCCCTCTGTTAGCTATATGTGGGCTGATGATGAGCTATGGGAATCGTCGGGAAATAGTGGTGGACAAGGCATTGGCATTGCCGACCTGTATAGTAATGAGCGAAGTATACATGCACAGCTCCATTCTTCATCACGTGATAGTGGCGCATCTTATCGGCCCCTTGGCTAGGAGAACATCTGTTACTCCAACCGAAACGAACGAGGTGGAGGCACTACAAATGTACTGACTTTATAAGCTACCATAGCACGTAATGCTGGATTTTGTCTCTTTTCACTTTTTCTCCTATTCAAACTTTGACGACCAACGATTTTGAAAGCGGTTATACTCCAAGGAAGAATATTCTTGCCGCTTTTGGGGTTCCTTTTTGGCGTGTTTGTCAGAACTACCCCAGATCGAAGCCACCCGTGTTTGATAGCTTTTGCCGAATGGATGGCTAGCAACAGCTCTCCGGATTATAAGGCTCTTTATCTGAGGGCGGAGGAAGAGCGCGAAAGGGAGAGGGAGGAACGGCGGCGGGCAGAAGAGAATCAAAAGAAGGCTGAGGAAGAGCGGGACCAAGGAAGAGAACGAACACGTCCAACAACCTTTCTCGAACTCCTTCATCTGTGCCACACCCTTTTCTCGCTGCAGCTACGAGCTGAAACCCCGTCTCGCTCTACGACTGGGAAAATCCCCCCGCCGACCGGGAAACATTGTCCGTTGCGGC